GTGATTTGATGAGAGAGAGAGAGAGTGTGTGTTTAGAATAATAACCAGGGATCTATCTCTCTAAGAGGGACCCAAAGATACGGGAAAAAAAAAGTATTATTCTATGTGTATCGTCTACACAATTTTTTACACCCCCTCACATGGAGGGGGCTTATAAATATTTTATTGTATGTGGACCTCCCTCCATGTGAAAGAATGTAAAAGATTGTGTAAATTATTATGTACACGTAACACTTCCCAAAAAAAAAATCCATTTCCTTCAAATTTCCAATACTATGATGAGATTGCAGCTTCTAGTCAAAAGACAACGGATAGGATATATACTGTGTATAAGTTTATGTACCAAGCAAATGACCGAAGCAAGGATATCAGTGCATAAGGTTGCACAAGAAATTTCAAACAAATTTGTCTCCAATATTGCAAGGTTCACATACTGAATTACGTCGCATTTGTTCACACTACGTCATATGGAGAACGAAATACAAAATAATTTGTTTCCCAAAATAAAAGAATGGCTTGCTCACAAATTTCTCAACTATAAGTTAGAATTCATCGAGGAGCAAGAGCAAATACACATAACTATTGCAGTCATATTTGTGGGAAAAAAAAAATACGTAAAGAAACAAAACTTGCATTAAATAAAAGATTTTAACACGAATCCGGCCACATGAGATACCAAGAATGATGCTACCAAAGTTCCAGGTATTCATCCTTCTGAAATCGAAGATAGACAAGTAATAAGGTTTCATGGAATAAAATCTTCCAGGTCCACTTTCAGCAAAAGTTTCATAACTTACAGCCCCCTAATTTCCTTATTAGGGCAGATGGATTCATTAGCATTAAACCATGGAGAAGGTCCAGAAGCTTCATTCTCCTTACCTAATCAACTTGAAGTTGATCAGGCACAAATTCCAAATCTAAATATCAACCATAGCATCTCCGAGCAGAAGCCTTGAGAAAAACAGCATCACTGACTTGCATTATGATCATTCATGAGTTGCCTCCTTCCCAGAGAGCCTCACATAATTTCAGAAGCTTTACATTCTGAATAACATTGGCTTGATTTCTGGAACTTGAATCCTAATCCCTGATTTCGAGAGAAATAATAAGCAATCTGATATCAAAGAACATGGAAGCAAACACATAGATTTATAATCAATTTCATAGCCCCATCCACTTGTCATTGCAGCACATTTTTACTATGAAGAAGAGGATCACAATAATGATATCACGACTCTCTGCCTGTATCACTCAGAAAAGGACCTCCTACACATCCTTTATGTGTCATAGTATTATTAGGTGACCTAAAGTATGTACAGAATGCTCCATCTACTCCTGAATAAAAAACTTGAATAGGTTACACAGGTCGATCCCCAGTTGGCAGAACAAGTGCACCATTGTATTAGGCTCCACACAGTCCAACAATCACCTGTCTTCATTTCCAGCCTTCAAGAGCAAAATAATCTTGAAATCAAGTAACCATGGCATCCCTGAACAATATCAAGCAGAGGACATGACTGGCACGCCTCCTCAACATCACAATTCATCCATTTCTTTGATAAATCTTCAGCAATCAGACCAACATGATGCTGTAATACAGCTGCACCCAACGGTCTGACCAAACTCTCATTGTTATGAACATGTAGGCTCTCTGAGAAGTTTGACCATCAAAGAAGCCCACATACAAGCCCAAAGATGGGAGCATGGTGCAACAAGACTGTTGAACTTCCCAAAGATGCATCTCTCATCATTTTAATAGATGGGACTCCTGAAAAAACAGCTGCAGCAACTCTCATAAGCGATGATCCTTGAGCAATTGATGCCTTATGACTCACTTCATTGGTCAGTGTGGCATCCAGCAGCCGATCAATTTTCTGCCATGTCTGCATGTCAGGAGACATGATTGCAGCGTGAACAAATGGAAGGAGTAAACTTCCAGTATTCTCCAAAACATGCTTACCCCTTGAGATATGCTTTATACAAGGCTTTCATTGAACGACTCAAATCTTATGCCTTGAGTGACAAATGTGAGACTTGCGTTTTGATGTAGTGAGATGTATGCCTTGACTCACCAAGGCTTAATGTTCATAGCAATTGAGGTGTGCACTCATTTGTCTCGCATATTCTAGATTTTTTTATTACTGGCTTCTGCGGCTTCCGCTTTTTGGCTAACTTTTTATAGTCCATAATGTTTTAAGGGCTAATTTATTTTCTTTCTTCTGCAGAAGAGGAAGGATAAGGCAGCATTGCAAGTGGATGGTTATAACAAAGAATGAGAGACAGATTTTGATAAAGATGGAAATTGGGGGAAAAATGTGATTCTTAAAGACATTATTAAAACTGATGACATGGAAGACTTTCTACCTCATTTCTAATTTTAAGAATACAGTACAGTTTTGTTATGTAATTAAATATTCTTGGGAATTTTTTTAAGCTCATTTGCAAATTAAACTTTTACTCCTATTAATTTGTTTTATTATGATTTTTAATGATGGTATATAATTTTACAAGCAAATTTCTTGGTTACAACCCATAAGCATAGTCTTTTTAAGCGGGATGATATGAACTCATTGAGGTGATGGTTATTCCTTCTTGGTTACATTAGATAATAACAAGCACAACAATGTTTTTCATAAATCAAAGTGCAATCGGAGAAATTTCTCACTGAAAAGTAAATCTAGTAACCCCAAAAAACTGCAAGCGGGAGCAATCAATATAGTGAGAACACCAATTCACAAACATCTAAGCAGCCAAGCCAATTGCTACAGAAAAGGATATATAGATATACAATGTACATATATTGCATCTAAATTACAAAATTAGGGCAACACTCTCATTAATTAGCCTTTAGAAAACACTTTGCCATTATGCAGGATCTCTGCAGCAACTAAAACATTTAAGCTTGTATGATTGTGCCTGTGTTTTTTTATTAAATTGTTCTTGAAATAAATTATTATCAAGATGGATAATTGAATTCTACCCAGAATGAAATCCCACAAATATGTAAAACGATATTTCAAGGACCAGAAATCAACATTGCGTTGAAATGTTACGCGTAGGGTGGGGAATTGGGGGTGGCGGTGTTCACCAATTGGGCTCGAAGACCAGACGGCAAATCATCTTAGTTTGATGTTTTAAAAAATCACGTTTAAAAAATCATCTTACTCTCCCCTCTCCTTCTCCCTTCCGTCTCCCCCTCCCCTTCCCTCCTCCTTGCCATTTCTTCCCTCTCCTTCCCATTCCCCTTCTCCTTCCCGTCGCCTCCACCGCCACGACGCCGGTTAGATCTGGGTCTCCTCCCTTCCCTCACTTCTCTCCTTCCCCTTCCCCATTCTCTTAATCTCCCCTCTCTCATATGTGTGACAGCAGAGCAGCAGTGTCGTTGTTGTGGGACACAGTAGGGCGATGCTGCTATGCTGCGCCGCTGTGTCGCAGCAGCGTCCCTGCTATGCTGCACAGCAGGGCGACGCTACTAGTACACAACAGCGTCGACGCTGCTGCCAACGTTTTGGTGCATGAGGTGGAGTGTGATAGTGTTTGTGCTTTGTGTGTTTCGTATGTAAGAGTTTAGTAGCTAATGGAAGTTAGGTATATTGATGTGTAGCCTACAACTGGGGATATGTGGTTGTGGATCTG